TGTATATATATAGTGTTTATTTTGTATTTTTGTACGACATTTCGGCATAATTATGTCTATGCCGGGTAAACCTGAAATTACTCAAAATGTACTATAAGAGAATACGATTAATCGTCAATTCTTCATATTCAAAGTTATATGCTATCTAAGTTGTTGTGTTGCATTTCTCGCTTATAGCCTATAATATTGCTTTCGACCTTTATTTCAATCTTGCTTTCAAACAGGAAAATATCTCTGCCCCATTTTGTAAAAACATTTTTTTCAAATGGACTAGAGGCTTGAGCATACATCGTTCAGTCGTAGGAACGCGATTTCAAGTTGGCTAACTCACTTAGTGCTAAAAATGAGTGTCGCATAATCGCTCCTCTTCTCTAGAGCACATTTCCAGTTCAATAGAGCTCTATCACAAATCTTCATTATGACTATGCCTTTGAGACTCACAACTTATTTGTTCGACACTTGAATCACCACGAATACATAATAAAGAAATAAGTAACCGAGGAGACCACAAAGGAAGCGCACAAGATGAATACCAAACTTAAACAAAGCTTAACACAAATTCACATAAGGCTTACTTTGGAGATAAGATACCTATAATGAAGAGTTGCATCCATTCAAAGCTTCAAAACATACTCATTCATACAATAGATAACCCTAGAAGACAATGATAACCTCCTAGACTAACCGCAGTCAGTATAGTGTCCGAGGAGCCTCCACTTCCCTTTCCACTCTAGTATGGTACCGTTGAGCTATGCATTATATTGGTTAGGGACATCTGACTCGTTGATTTGTTAAATTACCCTGTATAGTGGATCCGTCCTATTATTGAGCGTTGATCATGCGGGTAGTTAGAGGTTACCTTGCATAAAGGATCCGTCCTGTGGGAGGGCGTTAATCATGCAAGTAGTCAGTGGAGTTGGTATATATTAATGAACAACGCTCACCAACCTTGAGCGACTTCATGGCCTCAAAAATTGGGCCGTGACATAGTAATGAAATATCTTAATTAATAGAGTTCGTATCCTAACTAGAGATGGAATGATTATAAGGTCATACCTCACCTATATAAATACATTTATTATTTGAAATGATTGCATGTAATCATAAAGAGCACAACTAGATTATTCAAACCTCGGACAACCCTGTTGGATGATGAAAGTCCCACATCGGTTAATTTAGGGAATGATCATGGGTTTATAATCTAAGAATACACTCTCCATTGGGGTGAGGCCTTTTGGGGAAGCCCAAAGCAAAGCCATGACTCTCCATTGGGGTGAGGCCTTTTGGGGAAGCCCAAAGCAAAGCCATGAGAGCTTATGCTCAAAGTGGACAATATCATACCATTGTGGAGAGTCGTGTTCGTCTAACAAACCCCATGATTGAGATAAGTTAGATTTTTTTTAACCTTGAATGAGACTCCTATGATATGGATAAACCAACTCGGTCTTAACCACGATAGTGGTAAAGTTCTAAAACCTACCCAAACAGAATTTAGTTTGTAACCTTCACAAGACCTATAAATTAGATAAGTGGTATACAGGTACCTAAACTTTCAATTTTCCGTTCATGAAGTCTCCGACATATTAATTTAGCTAAATTAATAAAAATACCTCTCGACTTTCAAAAGTTTTAATAATACTCTTACTCTTAGTTTTGAATGGAAATCGTTTATACTTTGTTTAAAAAATACCCTTTAATTTTTTAAAAATTAAAAAAGTTATTTAAAAAACACTCATAAAATTTTTTAAGTAGCATTAACACCATTTATCTTTGTAGAAAAATTCAAAAAAATTCTTACCAACAATAATATGGACTAAAACTGTCTATTGGCATCTTATAGATTATCTTCAAACTTTTTAATGTTATTTTTGAAGTTCATCAATATTTCTAAGCTATTTTTTATTTTTTTATTTTTTAAAAAAGTTTAAAGGTGCCTTTGAAGTTATTAAAAAATTTAAAAGTGTATGATATTTTGTGGCGCTCTCCACCTTTAATCAGTTTGTCATGGAATCGTGTGCCGACCCAGAAAGCACTTGAACATTATCAACTTTGTAAGCCGACATTCAGGGAAGGATGCAGACCCATTGGGTAGGGATAATCACGCGCACGAAATGCTGATCAAATCTGTTAAAGTTCGCCTAAATTCAATCTCCATTATGTAAGACTAAAAAAGAAAAAACTCCAACTCAACTACATCCATTCCTTTATTTATTTATTATGATAGGATTTCTGTTGGCTTCGCTCGGAGGCTCGCAAATCTCCATTGGAATCTGAACTTGGCGTCTTGGCATCACATGTTAGAAAAAGTTCGCTCTATCTCCTTTTTAGAGGGAACAAGTACATAATTCTTCGATACAGGGAGAGCAAGTCTCGAAATTCTTGATCAATGAAGGAACAAAATATCATTTAAATTTCACGAAATAAAGCATAAAATATCGTGATTTTGTTTTTGGTTCCACCCAACACGTCTCGTACCTACGATCATTTCATTTTTCTAGCTAGAGCTCTCTACCGTAATATCTTATGTCAAATTTCCAAGGCTCCCGATGCGGGTTGTAGGTAAGCTTTCGGTTCTCTGAGTTTCAATCTACTGATGTAAAGGTTCAGATCGAATATTTTTGTGAGATAGTCCATGAATCTCGAGAATCGAGCATGGGGCTTGCAACACAAGTCCTTTGTGCATCATTCTCGTCTGTCACGTTTATCCGAAATGTTGAGCCAAATAGCGATTTGCAACCTTTGCATTTCTTGATGAGATCTCAAGTCTCCAAGTGGGACCTCTTGGCCACCCGCGACCTTGGCTTCCAAGAGAATCTCGCTCATGTATGGGGCTTGTAGCTTGGCAATCCACCGCTTAGGTTTTTATCCTTCCAATTTCGAGTGTCTTCTTAGGTTCTACAATTTATGAGGTGAGAGATTTTGTCCTTCCTTACAAAAATTACAATTTTACCCTTAGACCATTTATAAACGTTTTAAAACTATACTATCAATAGAGTACAGTTATAGAAAGATCCATCTATTCTAATATTTTTTTTTAAAAAAAAGCCCTTAAATTTTGTTCCCGTCTTACATAAACACCTTCATATTCTTTCACAAATTACATAATTACCCTTGATTTTTTTATAAACGTTTCAAAACTATAATTAGAATGCTGAACAAAAAATCAATAAAGCGGTGACTAGACTAGCATGAAAGTAACTAAAACACTTTTCGGGATTACGTTCGTATCTAATTATTGAAATTAAGTACATTTGAAAAAATAATAAGCATAAGGTTAAAAAAGGGATAATGATTCCGTCCTATTGTAAGGAAGATGATTAGGAAATGAAGAGGAAGCCCCAAGATTTGTTTGGTTCATAAAAAGTCAACCAACCAATCAGCGTTAATTGAAGTGGGCCCCACGGGATTTTATTGCCGGTCCGAGCCGCCCTTTTTGTATCCCCCACCAACCCGGTTCACTTACGACTCAACGTTTATCCACTAAAACCACCTACCCGCACCCGGCCCCACATCCCATACCTTCCTATTTTCTCGCAATAAATCCACTCACAAAAAATTACATTTATTTAGATTGAATTAAAATTAAATAAATTAAATAGGTTTATTAATTTCCTTAAACTAGATTAAGTCGACTCAACTTTAATTTATTAATTAATATAAAAATATACCCTTTTATTTGTGATATAATTATAAATATATATTATTATTTATTCTTCAACAAATCTTATAAATAATTTGAATAAATGACTATATATATATATATATATTGGATTTATTTATTTATTGTTTTTGCAATTATTTTTTAAATTTTTATAAATATTTTCAAAATTATAATAGTTAGTCAAATTTAAAAAAGAAAAATTATATTCCATTTGATAATTATCTAATTTATTATTTTTTTTAAAATTTTCAAAATTAAGCTGAGTATTTAAAACTATTAATCGATAAATGATAAAAGCTGTGGTAAAAAATTATTAAAAAAACAAACAAATAATTTTTTAAATTTAGCTTTGAATACGAAGACTCACAAATAGTGGACAAAAAAATTAATAATATTTATAAATTTAATTTTTAAAAATAAAAAACTAAAAATATTTGGTTAATTTAAAAAGAGAATATTATTTTTACCCACGTCTTTTTTTTTCCTCCACGTGCGTGGGTCCATGTGAAAAAAAAAATGTATTTTATTACACGTAATTCTTTTTATAAAATTGAATTTTTCTATTTAACTTTAATGGGTATTTATTTATTTATTGTTTGATTTATTATAAATGGTCTTATATTTACCAAATACAGATTTATTAGTTCTTTTTATATAGTTTTGTTTTAATTAGTAATTTTTAAAATTTTAATAATAATTTTAAAAATTTAAGGATATCTTTTAGAAAAAAAAATATAAATTTTAGAGGTATTAATAAAATTTCAATTTTAATTAATTTTTATTCTGCTTTTTTTTTTTAAAAGAAAAAAATAAAATAAAGTAAACAATGCCAAATTTGACCAGGTAAGATTCAAAAATTGAATTTTACCCATAAAAGACAATATAGTGTGATGTTCATTAGAGAATATAATAATAAATAGCTGAGAAAAATATTTTTTAATTATTAATATTAAAACAATTATCTTTTATTTTTTTTAATAGTAAGATATTAAATTATAAAAAAATGGTCAGATTTGCAGTGTTTTAAATATGTCAATAAAAATGAAGGAATACAATTTTTTTTAAAACAATGTTTTAATTTTTAAAACTTAACTTGATTTATAAAGAATATGATAATTAAATGGCTGTAAATTAAAAATGATATAAATATAAAAAATAATTGAAAATATTTTACTTGTCGCCCTTGTTGACCACAAGGGCCGAGTCATGAGGTTTGGTAAGAACAAATTTTGAATATAAAAAAATAAAAATAAAAATTAAAGATTAAAAAAAAACCCGCTGGCAAGGGACCTCCGAGCTTCAAAGTCCAAATTTCATGGCCAATAACTCTTTTATATATATATATAATTGCACGAAGTTGGGGAGACGAAGTTTCTGGTTCGTAGCTGAGAGACGGAGCCATTGCGAAGCAGAGGAGGATCTTGAGAGAAATCTGAGCTTGAAGATCTTCTCTGTGTTCAACCTGTTCAGATCATCGAATAAATTTGATTCTTAGGTATGTTCATTTCACTGCCATAATCGGAAGTTTTCATGGACATTTGACCACGCTCAAGCAGAAAAATAAACATAGAGAATCTTCTTTTGTTGTGTTTGTTTGATTTCGTTTTGTGAGTTGTTTCTTTTCGGTTTTGGATTTTATTTTTCATTTTCAGGTTCAGTTTTCCGGCATTGTTTTTTTTTTTTTNGCTTCTGTAGGAATTATGTTGTTGTTTTGGTTTTGTTTTGGAGATGAATGGACTGAGAATCTAACTTGGCAACCTTCGGATTTGCAGCGATTCTATTCGTGTAAGGTTTTTTTTCAACTGCTACTCATTGTTCTGGAATTTTGGTGAAATCGAGTTGCTGTACTACCAAGTATGGAGGCTACGCTTACTCAGCAGTTGCAGTTTTCTCCATGGATCCACTCGAAGAGTATTGCTGCAAAACCGAAGGGTTCGCTGCATTTTTCTCGGCGATTAGAGGAGCAGCACATGTTGCAGGCGCCATTTTCATTCAATTTACAGTTGTCCAGACGTTCAAGTCATCACAGAACAGTAGCTTTGAAAATTTCCTGTTCTTACAAGAACTCTTCAGGTTTTCTATTTTCTATCTATAGCCGACTTATTCAATTTTCTCTACTTCAAGCTAAAGAAGCGATTACTTGTAAATTCAATAGTATTCTGTAGAATTATGTGGTATTTAGTAAGCGCCACTTATACCTCAGCTCGTAGGATTTTGATTAGAATTTACTTGAGAAGGTTTCTTTAATTCAGTTTCATCTACGTAATTGGAATTCCAAAAATACATGCAGTTCCTCATCTATACCCATTCTAAAACTAATGTTTCTCTAATTGTTCAAATTTGCACGGTATACTTAAACAACTTGGAGTACCATTGTTTGTGTGTATAATAATATGACCATTTCTCGCTTCCACCGTGAAGTACTATTATATACACGTCTAGTTGCTTTAAGCTCTTATTAGATGGAGGAGTCTGGAATGCGTAGAATAAGATTTTTTTTTTTTAAATATTTCTCAGGAATTTGGTACCTGGGGTAAAGTCCATAAAAAACATTTTTCTTTCCTTTCTGATACCAACCAAATTTGAAACTATCCTATTGCTTGGTTCTTGCCCAGTATGAGAGGTTCTGCAATTTCCCTAATCTTCAGCTTGAGTTTGACTCCTTGTCCTCATTTCTGTCTGCATACATAGTATATTTGAAAAACTAATAATTTCAAGGGAAATAAAAAAGGAAAAATGGGCAATCAACTTTATGAACATGAATATTTTAGGAACAACATTTCTAATAAGATTTTCAATTTTTGTGCTTCTCAGTGTTGGAGTCTGGAAACCATCGTGTTCCTGTTGATGAAACTTTTACTATACAGGTATTGGTTCCCTCTTTTCATTATCATTTTTCTTGTGGTTTCCGTTGCTTTCCTGCCTTGTGTGATTGTGGGGTTTCTTATTTTTCTTGTTTCCTGCTTTTTGCTAAAAGGGGGACAAAATTTGTCCTATTAGTTGTTTAGAATATTTTTCATTTCTAGGCTCACGGGCCATAAAATTGCAGAGGAAGTCCCGGGAGATTGAGTCATATTTAAATGGGCGCTGCATATATTTTGTCGGTGAGTTTTTTTTTTCTTGGAGTGCTTCATTACTTTTGAGTTTATACAGTTAGATATTTAAAATTGTATCCATTAAATGCAGGAATGATGGGCTCGGGAAAAACAACCGTAGGAAAAGTCCTGTCGAATGCACTTGGTTACTCCTTCTCTGATAGGTTTGTTTCAAAGCTGTTAGTCATTTACTAACTTTTGGGTCAACCTCTATTATTCTATTTACATCTAGATTTCATGACAAGGGAAAAATTTTCATTCCTTAAGTTTTATAATTAAATTTAACATCCAAGGTTTATTGAAAAACAAAAGCGGACCAAGATTTGGCCGTGAAGCTGTAACAGGTGTAGATAAATAACTTAATTTGGTTCATAAATTTATTTCCACCGATTAATGAAAGAACCAAACTATGATGGACCTAGGATTTTTATGCTGATGCCATAATTTCTGGCATCTGTGTTTGTTTTGCTAATCTATGCGTCACTGCATACTATCATTGACGAGATATTTCCTTGCTATTCACTTGTGCTATGTTATGTTTTGGATGGCACAGTGATTCATTAGTGGAACAAGACGTTGGAATTTCTGTAGCTGAAATTTTCAAGGTCTATGGGGAGGACTTCTTCAGGGAAAGGGAGGTCAGTCTAGATGCATAACTGCCGAATCATTTAACATCTTGACATAATTCTTGTTGTATGTTCGTACTGTGTGTTGTATTATCATTGTGATGTGAGATCTCACATCGGTTGGGGAGGATAATGAAACGTTCTTTATAAGGGAGTGGAAACCTCTCCCTAGCAGATGCGTTTTAAAAACCTTGAGGGGAACCCCAAAAAGGAAAATCCAAAAAGGACAATATCTGCTAGCAGTGGGCTTGGGCCGTTACATTTTAGACGTTAGGTTCATATCAGAACATGGATCTTGATTGAGGGTCTCTTTCTCACTTGACTGATGAGGTTATTTCAATTGTTTGTCTCCATAGTATGCCTGAATTTGTAGTTCAGAGTACTCTTAAGTGTTGCGCAGTAATTAGAATCGATGAAAGTGATCTTATTATATTTTCTCATTCAAGATCTTCATTTCATTTAGTTTAAGAGATTGAGTTTTTGCTTAAACTCAAATTCCATACTAGCCTTGAAGGTCAAGGTTATTATCACAGGGATAATGCTCTATGATAACCATCAATTACTTTTTTTTCTTCTTCTTAAGGATATACCATGAAAAGGTCAATGCCACTTGCCAATACCAACCTGTTCACTAGGCCAATTAAAATTTTCAATGGACTTGGAATGTGTTATGTTTCAAATATTTTACACTTGAAATATCGTTCAAGGCAAGCTTTATTTGATGGATATATGTACTCCAAAACAGAATCTTTGCTGATTAACATAAAAGTGAACCTAACTTATCTTGATTCCTACAGACGGAGGCATTGAGGAAGTTATCTTTGATGAATCAGTTTGTTATTTCCACTGGTGGAGGCGCCGTTACTAGAACGATAAACTGGTAAAGAAGATGGACTAGATGTGTCTCATTTCTCGAGTTGATCTCGAGTTTTCAGTATCGTTTGACTGAACCTTTTTTTTTTAAAAAAAAACTTTCCAGGAAATATATGCGTGAAGGGATCAGTGTCTGGTTGGATGTGCCTTTGGAAGCCTTGGTTAAGAGAATTTCAGCTGTAGGAACCAATTCTCGTCCCCTTTTGCATAACGATTCAACTGATGCATACTCAAAGGTATATTTTCTGTGCTTGTTTCCTTTTACGTCCCACATTGGTTGGGGAGGAGAACAAATCACCATTTATAAGGGTGTGGAAACCTTCCCCTAGCAGATGCGTTTTAAAGTCCAAAAGGGAAAACTCGAAAGGAAAAACTCAAAGAAGACAATATCTACTGACGGTGGATCTGCGTCGTTACAAATGGTATCAGAGCTAGGTTCCGGACGATGTGTCAGCCTTCTCGTTGTTCCCCAAAGGGGGTAGACACGAGGCAGTGTGCCAGCATGCTGCTGGGCTCCTTTGGTATCAGAGCTAGGTTCCGGACGATGTGTCAGCCTTCTCGTTGTTTCCCAAAGGGGGTAGACACGAGGCAGTGTGCCAGCATGCTGCTGGGCCCCAAAGGAGGGTGGATTGTGATGTACCACATCGGTTGGGGAGGAGAACAAATCACCATTTATAAGGGTGTGGAAACCAGAACAAATCACCATTTATAAGGGTGTGGAAACCTTCCCCTAGCAGATGCGTTTTAAAGTCCAAAAGGGAAAACTCGAAAGGAAAAACCCAAAGAAGACAATATCTACTGGCGGTGGATCTGCGTCGGTACAAATGGTATCAGAGCTAGGTTCCGGACGATGTGTTAGCCTTCTCGTTGTTCCCCAAAGGGGGTAGACACGAGGCAGTGTGCCAGCGTGCTGCTGGGCCCCAAAGGAGGGTGGATTGTGATGTACCACATCGGTTGGGGAGGAGAACAAATCACCATTTATAAGGGTGTGGAAACCTTCCCCTAGCAAACGCGTTTTAAACCTCGAGGGGAAGCCCGAACGGGAAAGTCTAAAGAGGACAATATCTACTAGCGGTGGATCTTGGTCGTTACAGTTCATAAATATGACTTTCCAGGTTTCTAGATCCCACATCGATTAGAAAGGGGAGAACGAGTGCCAATGAGGACACTGAATTCCGAAGGGGGGTGGATTGTGAGATCCCACATCGGTGGGGGAGGAAAACGAAACAATATCTGCTAGTAGTGGACTTGGGGGTTATAGAATAATAATATAGAAATTTATTAGGTTAAAGTTCTTTTACATGAAAGATACGTATAAAAAGTACGATTTTACAAAGTTTCTGTTCTCTCTTGACAACGGGATAAATAATACTCCTTAAAGATGAGTTTTAAACATCACTCTCAGATAAATATTTGTTTAATTCCTGTTGTCCACAGACTCTCGTTCGTTTATCTACTCTCCTGGAAGAGAGGGGTGAAGCATATGCCAACGCTGAAGTCAGAGTTTCCTGCGAAAGTAAGACATCTCTCCTTGATACTTTATACATGTAATCTACCAGGGGATGTAAAAAAAATAACTGTTAAAATAATGTATTTTTCTCTTTAAGCTTAACGTCAAAAGCTCAATGGTTTTGGTTTTGCTATCTCAAATCATAATTTCATTCGAACTAAGGACCACTATTGGCATGCCATTAGTTGAGTTGAAATGGTTCCTGAGGAAGTTGATTTTGTGACCGTGAGATCCCACATTAGTTGAGGAGGAGAAAGAAGCATTTATATAAAGGTTTATAAGGGTGTGAAAACCTCCCCTAGCAAGATGTGTTTTAAAAATCTTGAGAGGAAGCCCAAAAGGGAAAGCCCAAAAGAGGACAATATTTGCTAATGGGGGTTTAGGCTATTCTGAATGGTATTAGAGCCAGACACCAGGCTGTGTGCTAGTGAAGACGCTGAGCCTCGAAGGGGGTGGATTGTGAGGTCTCACATCGATGGGAGAGAGGAACGAGTGTCAGCAAGGACACTGGGCCCTGAAGGTGGGTGGATTGTGAGATTTCACATTGATTGGAGAGAGGAACGAGTGTCAACGAGGACGCTGGGCTCTGAAGGTAGGTGGATTGTGAGATCTCACATCGATTGGAGAGAAGAATGAGTGTCAGTGAGGACGCTGGGCACCGAAGATGGGTGAATTATAAGATCCCACATCGATTGGAGAGGGGAACGAGTACCAGCGAGGACGCCAAACCTCGAAAGGGGTCGATTGGTAGATACCACATCGGTTGGGGAAGGAAGATGTATCATTCTTTACAGGGGTGTGAAATACTCTACCTAGTAGACGCGTTTTAAAAATTTTGAGAAGCCCGAAAGAGAGAAAAAACACCGAGGACTCTTTGAAAGCTCTTTTTTTCAAAAGCCATTCCGAAGATTAAACATTATTTGATTGTTTCCTCTATTAATATCAAATAACCTGCTTAACTTGTGCAGAAATTGCGGCCAAACTGGGCACAAAAGACGTATCTAATGTCACGCCAATGGCCATAGCAATCGAGGTCCATCTCTCTCACTCTCGGAATAAATATGATAGTCTACAAATCTATAACTAACTTAAGAATTTTGATAATGAGTCTTATTTTATTCCTAACCATCTTTTGCATGTGACCTTGTTTATATTATGTCATCACAGGCACTCGAACAAATCGAGATCTTTTTGAAGAGAGAAGATGGTTATTGTGCGTTTTGACGACCCAACAAATGACATTCAGGTATATAATTGAAGCTTAAAATAATTGAATGTTATTGTAAATGACCTTTTTGAATGATGTTATCAATATCTTTAGAATGAAGATGAATGATAATAATCATATTAGTTTCCTCGAATTAGTTGTCTCATTACTTTTTGTTTGTCTGTTACATTAATCGAAAATTTTTCGAAGGGTTAGTTTTAGATATTTTAAAGATAAAAAGTTCGAAAGGACTCTTTTCTGTCCTTTCAAAATCTAGAGATATAATTTAACATCTAAAAGTCTTTGTTAAGATCGCACAATAATGCACACACTTGATCTAGATGAACACAAAAAAAAATAGGATAGAGAAAATGAACATGAAGAACAGGATAGAGAAAATGAAAGGAGAATATTGGCTAAAGGTTTTGTATTAATGACTAGATATGCACAGTAGGAGAGAATACATAGTACATTTTTCAAAGCTAATATACATAACCATCTTACTGTATATAACTATCTACTTATACATTATTCAAAGCTAATATACATAACTATCTTACTGTATATAACTATCTACTTATACATTACCAAATTACTATGTATAACGTACTAAACATTATCAAATATAGCTTTACTATAACGTTGACTAAGCTATAAATAAGCTACTCTAATTAGCTATTTACTATTTATGAGCTAAAAATAAGCCGGGCTATAACCTAACAAGCCCTAACAATCTTACAGTCTTGTGTTTGTGTAGCTTGTGTTCTGTAATTCCTGTCGGTTCGATTTCTTGGAATACTCGAGTATTACTTTGAGGCGATCTCCTTTGCTTGGAGTTTGCATACTGAGCTCCATCACACTTATCGCTTTGAATCAAGTCACCCTTAGCGTAGCCCTAATCAGTCAACCTTTGTGCAAATGAGAGGTATTATAGTTCATTACATTTTGTTGCGTTTATAATGTGCGAATAAAGAAAAATTAAGTAGTTTTTGTAACTTAGCATTTTCTCATTTATTAATAAAATAAGTTATCTTACAACTTGCCTAAAATTATTCAAGAGTAAAATTCCCAAGTTATTATGGTAACTTGAACCATAGGTAGCGGATATATCAGACATATTTTCATATTAGCTTTATTACTTGAACATAATTCTCTTGTATGTCAATCAGGTGTGGTTGGAAATCACGAGAGAGACTTAGTTTATATTAAATCATAAACAAATTATTCATTAGAAAATTAGTAATGGTTAGAGCGAAAGATATGATTATAAAAGTAAAATGAACTTTAGATCCAACTATAATAATGAAAAATTCGTGGACAATTGACTTGCCTCGGTTAATTACATTCATAGACAATTTATCCTATAATGCATAAGGTTCATTAGTAGAGTGGCCGATAGTTAATGAATAAAATTTGAGTAAGATAAATTTAGTTGTAAGAAAATTTTGAAAGGTTAAAATTTGTAGGCCATAAGATGTTATGCTAGCTCATGATAACACATGATTCTCCGAGACAGACAATAACAATCTTGATCTTCAATTTACACCAATTATCGCAACAATCTTCCAAAATTCCAAGTTTCCTTTGGCGATACTCGATTGGAACAAGCGTTTGGGGGACGAGACAAAGAATAGTTTCTAAAATTGGGAGGGGTTTGATTGCAGGTAGCGTCTTTCACAAAGAGATGGATTAAAGATGGTTGCGATTTGCCAACGACTCGCTAAAAACTTCGTGACTAACTTGTTGTTATAAAGGTACAAATCAGTATTAGGTTATCAAGTCGTGCGTTATTATACCACTCAACCCAAAGTTATGTTACTTAGGTACCTTATTAACTTCTAAGAAGTGTTTCAAATATACCTAAATATTTTCCAACTCAAGTCTCTTTATTGAAATTTTCAATCATACTTAGAAGAAAATAAGTTATGACTCTCACATGCAAAACGACACTTTTAAGTAACACCCATCAAAGCTAAGTTAGACAAGTCATTGTTGTTTTTCATAACCATTGATGGTTGTCAGATGTAATGTGTCCAAAAAGACGCTATGAAAAATCTTTCATAACTGCTTTTTAATGATGTTACATGTAATATGTATCTAAAAATACTATGAAAAGTCTTTCATAGCTACTTCTCACTGATATTACATGTAATACGTGTCTCAAAACGCTATGCTTTTTAATGATATTACATACAATAAATGTCTAAAAATGCTATGGAATGTCTTTTATAGCTGCTTCTCGACAATATTACATGTAATATGTGTCTAAAAACATTATGAAAAGTCTTTCATAACTGCTTCTCGATGATATTACATGTAATACATGTCTAAAAACTCTATAAAAAGTCTTTCATAGCTGCTTCTCGAAGATATTACATGTAATATGTGTCTAAAAACTCTAGATAAAGTCTTTCATAGCTACTTCTCAATGATATTACATGTAATATGTGTTTCAAAAAACGCAATGAAAAGTCTTTCAAAGCCGCCACATTCCAATAACATTACATGTAATAAAGTTATTTTTTCTAAATAAAAGATGGACTCGACGAACGAGCATTACTCACAACACGAGTTTCCAAAGCCAACGATACTAAAATTTCGCAGTTCGAGATAAATCGAGAAACAAAACGAGTCTAAAACGAGCTAAAAACAGCCTATATGATTCAAGAAAGAGGGAACATTCTTACTCAGAGGCCAAGGTTGGTTCATACTCAAAGAGCTGCTTGAAGTTGTAAGGCGTAACAACTTCAAGGCCTCCACTCCACATCTGTTCTGCAAGCTGCTTGAAAACTTTCTCAGTGGGATGATATGAATCAAAGAACATATGATCTTCAATGTTTTTGCAATGCGTAAAGGGGAAACTTCCCAGCTTTCTTCCACAGTTATAAACCCCTCTAAATTCGTCACTCCCACAGCAAGCTGTATCCACTACCTTGAATCCTTCATTAACACAATACCATCACTTAACAATGTGTCGATAATAGTCTAACCCTAGACCCCGAGCGTCTCGATAACATAAACGTTTTGCTAACTATTATAGTCAACCTTGGCGTTTTAAAGGAATGTAGAGACTAAAAAGAACGAAAAATAGACATTTTAGAAGTGTAGGTGTAATAGCTCAAGCCTACTAACCTATAGCAAATATTGTCCTCTTTGGGCTTCTTCTTAAGGTTTTAAAATGCGTCCACTAGGGAGAGGTTTCTACACCCTTCTAAGGAATGCTTCGTTCTCCTCTACAACCGATGTGGGATCTCACAATCCATCTCTTTTGAGGTCCTAGCGTCCTTGCTAGCACACCGCCCGGTGTCTGACTCTAATAATATTTGTAACAGCCTGAGCCCACGCTAACAGATATAGTCTTCTTTAGGCTTTCCCTTTCGGGTTTCCCCTCAAAGTTCTAAAATGCATCCCCTAGGGAGAGGTTCTCACACCCTTATAAGAAATGTTTCATTCTCCTCTCTAATTGATGTGGGATCTCACAGTAGGAGAGAGAGATTATAGAGACAATTTAGGCTTTCCCTTCTAGGCTTCCCTTCGTGGTTTTAAAATGGTGTTCACTACGGAGAGGTTTCCACACCCTTGTAAGGAATGTTTCAAGGCTTCCCTTCAGTGCTTTCCCTTCTAGGCTTCCCTTCATGGTTCACACCCTTGTAAGAAATGTTTCAAGGCTTCCCTTCAGGGCTTTCCCTTCTAGGCTTCCCTTCATGGTTTTAAAACGATGTTCACTAGGGAGAGGTTTCCACACCCTTGTAAGGAATGTTTCAAGGCTTCCCTTCATGGTTTTAAAACGGCGTTCACTGAGAGAGATTTTCACACTCTTATAAGGAATGTTTCATTCTCGTCTCCAACCAATGTGGGATCTCACAATCCACTCCCTTGGGGGCCCAACGTCCTAGTTGGCACACTGCCCAGTGTCTGGCTCTAATACCATTTGTAACGACTCAAGCCCACCGCTAGCACATATTGTCCTCTTTAGGCTTTCCCTTCTGGGATTCTCTCCAAAGTTTTAAAACGCGTCCACTAAGGATAGGTTTCCACACCCTTATAAGGAATGTTTCATTCTCCTTTCCAACCGACGTGGGATCTCACAATCCACCCCTCCCCCCCCCCCCCCCCCCCCCCTATCCTAGGGCCAGCATCCTTACAGGCACACCGTTCGGTGTCTCTCTAATACCATTTGTAAGAGCCAAAGTCCACCGCTAGCAGATAAAGTCCCCTTTGGACATTCCCTCCCTTCCAGGTTCCCCTCAAGGTTTTAAAACAAGGGAGAGGTTTCCACACCCTTATAAAGAATGTTTCGTTCTCTTCTCCAATCGATTGGTATGTCACAGTAGAACGGAGACCAAAACAACATTGAAACCAATGAAGAAATAATGACAAATAAGCAAAGTAAAATTTGTTACCGTATTGTGAAGGGTTTAGAATTCTTTGAAGGAGCAACATGTGGACATCTGCAAAAGCGTATTTGAATCCTTTGAGCTGTTTCGAAAGCTTGTGAAGGGCAATGGGAAGCAGCTTGTTGTGCAGCCTTGCAATTGAAGAAGCCTCCTCAAAATATTGGGCACTTTTTTTCAACCTCGAACTTGGCATATAACCTAAAGGAGGCACTCCCATAAGCCCAAATTTCCTTCCTCCATGCTTGTATACTTCCTATCACATTCAAAATCCAAACCTTACTTTAAAAAAAAAACACGAAAATAGTGAGAAAATAAGTACAATTTTCAACACGAGATCACCTTGAGCACTGTCGTTATGTTTCCGATCACCATATTCACAAACTGTTCTTGAGTGTCGATGGTTTTGAATATGTCGTAGCTTATGTCGAATGGATTTAGGTAATCGTTTCCTCCGAAATTAAACAAAAAAACAGAGTTGGAGAAGAAGCTTTGAGTTCTTGCATTCCCAAGCTTCTTTCTTAGTGATTTGTCCACCCTTTTGAAGAAATTCATCTGGGTTTGAAGCCCTAAGGCCTGAAAATCAATCAATGTAAGAATGTTTATGCATTCAATTGATTCAAAGAAGAAAGAACTTAGTTTGATTGATTTGAATGGGACCTGTTCTTGATGACTTAGAGGTAAAGCGCCACCTCCACCAGATGCAAAATTGACACCATAGTCATAAAGATCATTGTGGGGATCCAAATATGGTGGAAGCAAAGGCAAATTTGCATACTCACCTGCGTTAATAAGTACTCTTTCAAGTTCTGTCTTGTTTGCAGCATGCTTGAAGTTATTAGTTCAGTATAAACATTCAGAATGATATCAATTTCCGTGGCCAACAACAGCAAAATCCTATCCCAAAATTGTGAGATCTCACATCGGTCAGAGAGGAGAACGAACCATTCTTTACAAGGATGTGGAAACCTCTCCCTAGTAGACGCGAATTAAAAACTTTGAATGGAAGCATGAAAGGTAAAGCTCAAAGGGGACAATATCTGCTAGTGGTGGACTTAAGCTGTTACAAATGGTATCAGAGCCAGACACTGAATGATGTGCCAACGAGGAGGCTGAGCCCCGAAGTGGGGTGGATACGAGGTGTGTCAGCAAGAATGTTGGGCTCCAAAGGGGTGGATTTGGGGTGGTCTCACATAGATTGAAGAAAGGAATGAGTGTCAGCGAGGACCTTGGCCCCAAAGGAGTGGATTGTGAGATCCTACATTGGTTGGGAAAGAGACAAAGCATTCTTTGTAAGGGTGTGGAAATCTCTCTCTAACCTTTGCATTTTAAAAACCTTGAAAGAGAAAGCTTAAAGAGGACAATATCGGCTAGCGGTGAGCTTGGACCGTTACAAATGGTATCAGAGCTAGACACCAAGCGATGTGCCAACGAGGAGGCTAAGCCCCAAAGTGGGATGGATACGAGGCAGTGTGCCATCAAGGACGTTGGGCCTCAAAGGGGATAGATTGGGGGTGGTCATCAACCGGAGAAAGGAACGAGTGCCAGTGAGGACGTTAGGTCCCAAAGGGGGTGAATTGTGAGATCTCACAAAGATCGGAGAGTAGACATAACATTCTTTACAAAGGTGTGAAAATCTCTCA